TTTTATGATTTTCTCATTTTTGTAAAACAAACTTAAATAAATACTAAATGAAAAATGCGACATATTTTATATTTTTATTAATTTAAACAAATAAACAGCACAGACAAAAATACAAATAATTATACAAAAATACCAAAAAAAATACAAAAGTTGCACACAAAGGAAAATTGTTTTATTTTGAATTTTTTGGGAGTAATTATTTCATAGGGCAAAAATCACGTGCTTACATGAGGTTGTGTTGAGAATGCTGATAAAACAGTAAGTAAATAAGACACGGGATTGTTACGTAGAAAAATCCCAACTCAAGGGGACAAAAACCACGACCTACACCTGTAGGCTTTCAACTTCACTAACTTGTAAACACCTATTACAAGCCTCTTTGTAATGACTCCATTACAAAGAATTCAACTCAACTAACTTGTGATACTCTTACCAAGAGCCACTTTGTGACTCTCTAGTTACAAAGACTTTAACTTATGACTAAACTTAGTTACAACAACACTTCTGGCTAAGCTATTTAGGAGATACAATAAGAACAATCACAAAGTTACAACTCAACTAAGGACAACAAAATACTAACTTTAGGAACTGGTCCGTAGTAGTATTTAACTTTGTTCTTCAAGCTCGTGAGAATTAATTTCATAGTTTTGCAAAAGGCTTGAATGAATATCACAAGTGTTCAAGTGATGTTTTGATATAAACTCCATGTTGATAGACCTTGATGACATCACTTGAATGATGTAAGCACTTTAGTTGGTCAAAAGATAAGTGGCCACTAGAAACAGTGCAGTGCAGGCAGTCACGTCACTTCCAGTTGTGTCTAATTGACTTCGTACTGCTATGAAGGAACCACAAGGGTATCATATCCTTGTTTGGTTCTCTATATCCTGAAGCTATAGCAGTTCACATTTAGCTGGAATTCGTTAACTTGCAGTGTAGCCCAAGTGTGTCAGGTTCCCTATCTGGTCCTTGACAATAAGTTTGTTAGATCATCAAAACATAAGGCAAAGACATTGAAAACCTATCAATTTTCCCCTTTTTGATTATGACAAACTTAAAAATTGACAACGTGTATTTAGAGCAAGGAGAACCAGATAAAGTATCAGGAGCTCACAAGTTCCCCCTGCCTTTATGCCTTCCTCCTTTTTGAATCATTTTATCTCTACACTTATTTATGTATTCCCCCTTTTGGCATCATTAAAAAGACACCAGCATTCAAACAACATAAAGAAGTCTAGTAGAGCTAACTCATGCCACATATGTGCACACAACATGATAGAGAAGAGAATCATAAAATTCAAGCAATGAGATAACAAAAGAGGATAGATTTTATATTGATAAATATATATATGCCTTTGCTTAAAAGCAAAGGCAAAGTTGGACTGTTAAAGACAGGAGCAGTACTGTTTCATCTCAACCACATCAAAAAAAGAAAACAAAACATTTACCAAAAATAAAATAAAAGAACATTCCAGAAACTGGTCACTGAAGGGGTACTTAGGGGGCACTAGGAGTAAAGGGCTTGGAGGCTGCAGCAAGTGTTTGGAGAACTCGGTCTATTCGGACATTGACTAACTTTTGCTCATTGATCAGTTCTACTTTCAGGTTCTCTACTTGCGCCCTGAGATCAACATTCTCTTTTGTCAAACGAGCTACTTCATCATTTGACACCGGAACCCCTTGGGCTTGCTGACCTTCCAGGATAGCATTCCTAGCCTTCAACCGGCGAATCTCCTCAGTTGCACTATTTTGAG